GGTATTATACTCAGCGCATTCGCTACAAAACACTCACCCAACTGAGTATGGGTGTACATACATATGTACATATGTATGTAAGTATGACTAAAACATATACATATATGTATATATATGTACGTGTACTTAGGCCTACGACATATTCTGCATATGGTTCGGAATTACGGGCCTCTCAGCGTCGAGTCACTGAATCATCCACTGCAACGTGCGAGTGGTCGGTCGGTCGGTCGGTCGGTCGCCCATGCCTTCGACAACGGTGCGCTCGAGAGTAAATAATTTTTACTACTTCATTTGCGCCCGCAAAATCCAAAAATAGAGAAAACACATTTTTCAAAACAAAACTCTTGGCTATCAACTATGAGCGGTAGACACATTCAGGGTGGGCGGGAGAAGCGCTTTAAACAGGTGTAATACATAATTACGATACAGTGAAGTTTGCGAGTGTTTGTTGTTTATTTGCAGAGCGCGGCAGTGTTAAAATTAAATTTGCTGTTTATATCACTATCTATGTATATACAAATATTGGTGAGTTTGATTTATAAAGGGTGATTTCACATGAAATTCAGAAAAATGCATCTTTATTTGAGTCGATAGTAACGGTCCATATAATTTAATGTTTGAAGATTATTTCATGCAAATGTTGAATGTGACGACGCCTCAATTGCTCCATCCGTTTAGTTCAATTTTGGCAAACTCTTTCCAACATCTCGGCTGGTATCTCACGAAGAAATGCTTCAATATTGTCCTCCAAGGCGTCAATTGAAGCGAGCTTGACTGTATGACATTAAATTTAACATAGCCCCACAAAAGATAGTCTAAAGGCAATAAATCGCACGATCTGGACGGCCAATTGACCGGTTTCGAACGTGAAATAAAACGTTCACCGAACTCGCCTCTCAATAAGTACATTGTTACGCGTGCTATGTGGCATGTGGCACCGTCTTGATGAAACCATATGTCATGCAAGTCAAGCTCTAGCCTTTTGGGCAAAAAAAAAGTTTGATATCGTCTCACGGTAACACTCACCATTCGCCCATTTGCATCATCTTTGAAGAAATACGGTCCAATGATGGGCTAAACCGCTCCAAGCTGTGACTTTTTCTGGATGCATGGGTAGCTCTTGCAAGGCTTCTGGCTGATCTTCACTCCAAAATCAACAATTTTGCTTATTTACGCACCCTTCAGTGGGCCGATTAAACTGACCATAAAATAGAGCCTTCTTACCAGAGTATGATTCAAGGTTAAATTAAAGACCAAGCTGAAGATGTTTGATAGTGATACAAAATACGAAAGATGCGTCAACTGTTTAAACCAGTGTTGCCAAAAAGATAATAGCTAAAAAATCACCCTTTATATACTACACACACATACATATACGTATGTGTATGTATACAAGGTATGTATTTAGAGCAATTAGCTCTTATCAGCACATGCTCGTATCTACATACCAGTGACTGATGTACAAATATGCCAGCTATGATTATGTATTCATTTGCTCATTTAACGTAATAACAATTTTGAAGAGCTTTGCCAAAGCAAGTGCAAGTGAGAGTGAGAGTTACAGTTCTCATTTGATTTGCTTCAACTGAGTCTTCTTCTTCTTCATTTGCTGTTGCTCTATTGTACTATATTGTATTGTACCGTATGGCTCTACGTGATATCCATATTTTCGTGGCATTTGGGCTCAACTAATGAAATCGAAATGTTTTCATTGCACGTTCTCCAAATAAAAATTACTTCATTCTACTATTACTTGTTTGTTTTTCGGTTTTGTTATTATTCTTTCGTCAACTATTGCGATTTCAATGTCACAAAAAATACCGTAAATGTAACCAAAATTCATAGGCTTTTTTATTCAGTCGTACTTATCATTGTCCGATTACAGGCAGCTTTATACTAGTTTGTATGCATGAATGTATGTATGTATGTGGTTGTCCGGGGTATCGTTGCAGTGTGTCTGGAGTAAAATAAAACTCGATTTAACGCATCGTCAACATTATTTCGGCTTGTACGTGAGGAGATTAATTTTCCCAAGTAGCAGATAGAAGCTCACCTCGTACTCTTAATTATGGCTTTGTTTGTTTTAACAAATATTTAGATGAATGTTGTGAAATGTATTGGTAAACAGAATGAGCGAGTGAGCAACAACAATATATTCTATAGTTATTTACAAAAATATTCGCAATCCAACAACATGGGCGTACGTTCGACTTAAATAAATGTTTTCGATGTTTTGGATTAAGCAAAATGCATTGCATCGCTTTGCAGCAGCAAGATTCAAGTCCAAAAAAATACTAAACCAAAACATATAAAAAGCGATGCGCAAAGCGAAATATGTAGCACTTTATGCTTTGAAAAAAAGTTATTTTACGCATTAACATTTACATAAAACAGAGTGGGAAATATTTGTAACATTTTGCGTAAAAAAATAAAGAAATAAAAAACATTAAAAAAAAATACTTAAAAAATTAAAAAAAAAAAAATTAAAAAAAAAAAATTAAAAAAATAAAAAAAAAAAAATTAAAAAAAAAAAATTAAAAAAAAATTGAAACAGAAAACAATAAAAAAGTTAAAAAAAAGTTTAAAAATAAATTTAAAAAAAATTGGAATGCTGACTTTGCTATAGGAGAAATTTGTAGCAGAAATTTTATATAATTGGCGCTTTGTAACCGTTGAAACGATTTTCCACCGAGCTCCTCCTCAAATTTGTGGTTTTTGCATCTTGATGTTTTTCCAACAAATGGAGGGCCCTACAATCTATACTACGCCGCCTCCGAACGGTTGATGGTTTTTCTTTTGAGGAGCTTTATTTCATGTTCGAAATACACTCGGAGAGGTGGACATTACCCCTGCCGAGTGGCGACCACAATTAGAAAATATAACTTAATTTGTTATTTGAATTTATTTTCTATAACTTTTAGATATTGTTCACATGTGAATTTGAACCCGAGCCTACCGAATGGCAGTACGCAATTCTAACCATTCGTCTAACGCGGCAATTACTTACGCAAATATTATTACATACATACATACATACGTGAAGATGTAAATTACATTAGTATTTAAAATTTTGTATGTCGCTAGCATTTAAATCCATTTAAATTAAAGCAATCAAAAGTCGCTTCTTATATTTATATTTATATAAATATTAAAAGATTGAGAAATTTCCTTATTTAAAATGTTCGAAATTTTTCCAACAACTACACAATTGAAACAGTTTTTTTTTTTACAATTTCACAAAACTTTTATCGATCGTACTCTTAACGACAGAAATTAATTATGAAATTAATAATTATATGTATAAAATATGTAGAAATATTTATAGCAACAAGTGGAAAAGTTGACAAATTTTCAAATAAGGGCAAATCTTTCGACTCATTTCAAGGCCTAAAAACAGTCCTTATCAGCATATGTTTGAATCACTAGCCAATTTACAACGGTACTTGGTAATAATAATTTGTGCGCCTTGCATTTTCGGTTAATTATTTCTAGAAATATAACGAAAATTCTAAGTTCTTAGGTCAGCAGCGTTTTGAGTTGGCAAAAATAATAGGAGTGTACTCTATTTTGAATGAGTACATTAATGATAAATAATAAAAAAAGGAAAATCTTGGGTTTGTAATGAGATAAAGAAAAACACAACATGAATCTTGCAGTGCATTGCAGCTCCTTTGACCGAAAAATATTGATAAAGCTAAAAAAGGAAGCAAAAATCATAGGGCATGGAATTTAAAACTAAAAAAAGGAAGAGCAAAATTTCAATTCGTTTCAACAATTTGTTGGTACATTACGGAAAGGGAAATTCGTTTAAAACGTCCAACAGCTTGAAAAGTGATTTTAATGCTCCAACTACAAGTCAATGAGTGTAGGATCGGCATCAAAAAGTTGATCTTATTGGAAGGTGAGCCAATATAATGTTATTGGGATCGGCCCGAAAACGCTAAGTTAGACGTCCTAAAGGACAAGAGTTTAATCCAAAATTTACTGTGCAGGCAGAAACGCATTTCGGTTGCTCGATCATTGTATGGGGTTGATCTTCATTATCTGCTATCGCGCCGATCTATAGAATAACGATAAACCAATTCCTGAAGAAGAGAGGCCATTAAAATGGGAGTTTTTGCATAACAACGATTCCAAAGCACTCTGCCTATCCTCGTCAGGAATGATTTATATAACAAACGCATTTCCGTTGTGGCGTGGCCCCCACAGTGTACATTTCCTAACTCCATGAACCACCTTTGGGATGTGCCAAGACGGTCTTTAGAAGGTCGCAAGTGTACAACTAAGAACCAGATGTGGGGAAAAAATCACCGAGGCATTCTGAAAATTAGCATTAAGTGCCAAACATATGGGGCCCACGACGCAAAAATCAGAGAAGGTGCTTTAAAACAAGGGACTACTATAAAATATTGAAACTTTGCATTATTTTAGTTATTAGAGATTCATTTTCTTTCCCAATTCCCTTTTTTTTTTTTTTTTTTTTTTTTGTAACTGTGTTTTTTGGCACCGATACCATTGAGGTTTTGTCAGAATTTCGATCATAAAAATTATAAAATTATAAAAAAAAGACACATGTTTAAAAGTTAAGCTTCGTTCATCTACAAAAAGGAAAGAACAAATACAAGAAAAACCATACCTAAACACTCGTCTCAATTAATTCTGCCACCAGTGTATATGTCTATACTTAGAAACACATTTCGCTAATTCTTTATGTGCTTTATACAGAAGAATAGACATAACTACAGAACAGAGACTTAACTATGTATTGATTTATCGATTTTTTAAACGTTGAAGAAACTATTGGCGTTACTGCTACCAATTTACCAGATATGAGGTACTTTCTTAACATTGCTTCTGTTTATACTCATGACAGAATAGAATTAAATCACAATTCTAAATGTTATCGCGTTTTAATTTCATAAGTATGTTAATTTAGGTTATGCTTTGAAAATAACATAAAAAAAATTTAAAAAAAAAATAATATTCCAATTTAGACTTACCGTCAGGTAAGGGTCCTGGCACTATTGGTGGTGGTATAGGTGAAATAGACGCTACAAATGGTTGTTGCTCTTGCTGTTCAATCTGCTCAGCATCTTCGTTTTCTTGTATGGGTGATTGAACTGGAGGCAATTGCGCTGTTTTCTTTTCCTGATTTAATGCATTGGCGAGAATTTCACTCGACTTTTTGTCGATGACATTATGTTGCACACGCTTATTCTTCAGGTGATGTGGTGTGTCACTGCAAAAATTATAGTAAAAATATATTATTTAATTTAAATAATGACATTATCTCTTTTAATAGTTAAAAAAAAAAATATTTCTTTCTTTTGAATATTTATGTGTGTAGCTAAAAATCCACAAATAAAAATAACAAGTTTTATATGTGCTTACCGTCTGTGCAACTTCATTGGTCGCTTATAGAAATCATCATCTTCACCCTCAACTTGAAAACCCACTTTTCTTTCTGATTCATCCTATAAAACAACAAAGAAATAAATATTATATATATAAAATTTGAAAACGAAATTAAAGTACATATACATATGTGTGTTCTTTCAACAAAACAATATACTATAATTAGCCGATTTTTCGATCTTCTTCGGAAATCAGTCAGTGATAAAACTTTTGACAAGAAAAAAAATTCAAATATACTGAACCAACTCTGAACATATTTTAATTTAGATTGTTTTTATAATTTTACATTATTATTTTTCAGCCACTTTTTACTATCACTTTTTTGTTTTGTCTTTACATTTTAAGATCAAAATATTTGAAATCTTGAATTAACGAATTGTTAAATTTTTGGTTCTTTTCTAATTCTTAAAACTACAGACAATCGGCAGTTTGTACATTAAAAATTAAAATTTTAATTGTTATTTCTGCAAGAGGAAATTTTCTCAATTATATTTTTTTATACTTGTGAATATTATACAAGTTGAAATTCCCTGTCAGCACAATAGCTTCAAACGGTTAGCATTATTCAATTAACAGTTGTTAACAGCTGTTAACTTGAAACGGTCAACATTTCATAAAGCGCCACTCTGTTAATGCAGCTTTTTATTTTAATGGTTTGTGTCTACACTTACGAAGTCTTCATCATCATCATCACCGGCTGCTGAGGCTGTTACAGCTGCTGTAGTCACGATTACACCACTGTTACCGTGCTCGGGCGCAACATTTGTTATCGGTTCATGGACAGTTGCTGCGCTAACATCGGGCTGGGACTGTACGCCTGCAGTCTGTACAACGGCAGGTTGTTGTGCGAATGAAACAGCTGCAGTCGGTGTTTTGGGTGAGAGTGACTGTTGTTGATGATTCTCATAGATGGGCTTGGTCTCTGCTACATTTTCAACTATTGTTGAGTTAGCGCCAATTTTATCTGTAGCGTTGGCAGCGTACTTTGCAGAGATCTGTAAAAAAAAGCAAATCATTAACGGTGAAGCAGGAATGACAGTGTGTTTGTGATGCAAAATATTTTGAACAGCAAATGTTATGTGTTTACAGAAATACTATGAATGCATTGAATAAAAAAAGCTTTCAAACTGTAATGTTGAGTATCTAACATTTGGCTGTTCTTAACATACGCTCTTTGCGCTATTTAGAAAATATGAAATTGTCGCATGTAACATTTGCTAGCCAAGTGTAAAAGAGCGTATGTGCATAACTCAACTAAACAAAATATGTACATAGGTAATGTGAGATGTTTAGTAACAGATCGCACAGACTGAATATATTTTTTTGGAAACATTACTCACTTCTTCGGATACCGTATCTAAATTGCCGTCATCTACACGTGTGCGATCTTTGGCAAATAATTTGTGCGCCTTTGCCTTCAGCTCTTTCGGATGTGGTGTATTTTGTCTAACAAATGGAGTATCCTTCTCCTGTGTTGATTCCTCGGAAAATTTAACGGAATGTGTTCTTGAGGCTTCACGCTCTTCCCAGCCATCTGAGTCTGTTTCCAGTTCGCGAGCTGAAAATTAGAGAAAAATATTAAAATATTAAATAATTATATTTCAATATGGAATGTGTGTCTATGTTAATTAGCAATTATTTGATTATGATTACTCAATTCGAAACTGGCAAATACATTTTGAATTACATACATATCTACATGCTATTATATGCTAATAGTTCATTGAAACTGCTAAATATTTGTTATGTAACAGGCATTTTAGGCAAAGGAGCTTGACAATATAACGGTATAAGCGCTTTCAATTAGCAAATACTACATCAATACTTAATTGTTGGTATAAGCCACTCTCATAGCATCATAGTACAATGCAATAATTATTTTAAATTTTATGCAAATTCTCAATTTAATTTTATTCAATCTAACTGTACAGTAAACGCGGAAAATTTCACTTTTTTCAAAATTTAAAGTACGTACGATATTGAAAAGGTATGTATAAGAAATACTTCGAAAATCGAACGATAACCACAAACCAGAAAAACGCCACGATATCAGTCCCTTGCGCTAACAAGAAAAATTAACTCAACGAAATGAAATCGTTTCGTGTCGGCAACATGTTATCATCAAAACAAAATGGAATCGTTTGAATCGTTGAAACCGCATAAACACATCGTGAACGTTAGTTCTAAAACGGCTGCCTGTTATGATTTCCCAACACAGGTCATTTTTACGCTTAAAATTATCTGTTAACGATTTAACAGTAACGAAAACTTTTCGTTTCGAGTAAAAACGAATAGAAATTTATTCTGATAACTGCTTTTACGTTAATATTTCCAGATGTTTCAACAGAATCTAGAGAAATTGTACGATTAACGTATAATTTATCGTTAAGATGCAGCCTTGACACAAACACAATCCTATTCGACATAGGTCAAGTAAAAAGTTCGTTCGGGTTTTTATTGATTTTTTCAAATAAGACAACTTTGTGTATATTTGTCCGATTTAACTCAAAGATGCGTACACAATCTGTTGACCAAAGACGGCCTCTACTGGATGAGTACCACCTTCAAGCGGTCCATTGTTGGCCAAACACACAGCAAAACCTTCCTGGCCGTCAATCCGGTCTTGGCCACCGTCCATTTTTCTTCGCCAGTCACAATTCGCTTTAGAAATGGGTCGCGTATGTTCGTGTGGCACCCAAACATCGGGCTTACTTCTGAATCCAAGGATATGCAAATGGTTCCAAACGGTTTTCTGGCTTATCTTTAGTTCCTTACCAATTAAATAATTGCCCACGCGAAGGCCTGTTTCCACTATTTCAATGAATTTATAGCAATTTTCGACTACGGGCCTCCCGACGCGTGGTGTGTCTTTGAAATCGAAATTACAGGAACAGAACCCAGCGAAGCACTTTCAGCCGCTTTGACCACTTTTTCGCCTTGATCGAAGAAAAATTGTAAAATATAGCGTTGAGTCAATCAATCGAAAAACTGTCAAAGACAAACTTTTAGCGCGAATAATCACGTTTTCAGCGCCGTACAGCATCACATGATGCGACACGTATCACTAGTACTATGGACTATGGACAATAACGCCAAACTGAACAAACTTTTTACTTGACCTAATATTATATAAATCTAAATAACAACGGAAATTCGACATAATTAGAGGAATACAATATGACTAACATATTGAAAGTATGTGTGGAGTTTATAATTTAAAAACCCAGTATAGAAAATTGTATTTTATACATATTTACATAAGTATCCAAATGACTACTTATGCATATAAAGTAGTACCCCCACGAATACAATGTTGACAAATGTGCACTCGCATTTCTTTAAAAAATGTCGAAATTCCTAAGTCACACTTGTGCTAACGTAGGAAAATTGATGTCGCATACCTAGAAATTATTGTGACCTATTGTTCTATTTCTATTCTTTTATTTTTTTATTATTCAATTAAGATATGTCTAACTCGCTGCACATTTGGCTTTTGAATGAAGATTTATCTAAATATTATTATTCTCATCCATAGAGCGAAGTAAACTGTTTTCACCGCGTTAAAATGACAACAATGACTTTTTCGTATTATCTGTGAGCGTACAGGGTGTTTTTTATCGGTATGTAAGTGCTGAATAAATTTCACATTTACCAACCGGGCGATTGCATCAGATATGTTTTGGAAACGTCAACTCAGTGCAATTTTTGCCATGGATCGCTTCACACCGAAACAACGCGCTGAAATAGTGACACTTTACATCGACAACAGTCGATCCACTGTCTTAACTCAACGCGCATATCGGAAAAAATAACGCGGCAAAAAGACAGATCACCTGTTTTAAACCCCCCGGTCTTCTTTTTGTGGGGTTATTTGTAAAACAAGGTTCACGCCAACCCGCCTCAAATTATTGATGAGCTCAAGGCAAACATTCGTGCTGAAATCGACGCTATAACATCCAAGATGCTCGGAAAGGTATTGGCAAAAAGCAGAATTGCTAATAACGGTAGCCACTCCATTGATTTTTTTTTTTTTTTTTTTTTTTTTTTTTGAAAAACTTACTTCACTTATACATCTCGGTTGTTCTTTCTCAAAGTTATTCAATGTTTACATACCGACATAAACGATGGAGCACCCTGTACATATTTATATATACATATACGTATACTTAACCTATGCACAGACATATTCAGATCGAAGGTTGGCTATGGTCATGCATAAAGCGCCACGCTATGTACTGTTCGGCAGCCTTACAGTTTGCTGTGGGTTTTTTTTTCGTTAAATAACATGAAATGGTTTATTAACTTTGATGTAAATAACAACATAATTTCCACAAGTAAGCAGTTAAATAAATTAATTTGTGTATTAAATAAAAATGCGTAGAGTGGAAACAGAGGAATTCTTGGTTTTCTAAAAAAAAAAGTAAAATCGCCATTTTGTAAATATAGACATAAAGCATTTGAACTAAATTTTAAAACGAACGCATTTCCTGCATAAACGAAATTTTTTTCAAATTAACATCTGCTATTTTTCAGTATATAATATACATGTACATTGAATTCCCGTAAGCGGGCAATAGATAAGCGTTTGATTCATGGTTTATAAGCCTTTTCTTGTTAATTATGTTTTAATTTTGAATAAAGCTTAACTTCTTTCGAAAATAGCATTAATAGTTTCGTATAAAATGAATGATGTTTTTGTTAAGTTTTTTAAAAGGTTTAAATAATCGTGCATCTTGATGTTTTTCCAACAAATGTAAAATATGTAGCTGATGCATTCTTATGAGGAGATTTGATTTTTCTGTGACAAGATCTTGACATTCTCATAATCATACTCGTATATTGCCTATAAAATAATAATAGGAAATCTCAGAAAATCGCATTCACACATTTCCGGAAAACCAGGTCACATTAACAGCCATGGAATCTGTAATAGTAAAATAGAAAACCGTAGAGAACTATCGCAGATCAATGTACGTGATAGCTAAGCGGTTCTCTCCACATCTGGTATGTGTGCCAGGACACATACACATACCGGGTAATGAAGTGGCGAACGAGCTTTCAAACAAGTGCACTTCCCCTCCACTTTCGCCATCATGGCAGATATTTGGCATGCTGCTCTCTACTTGCTAGCTTAATATACGAGAGTTATTCGTTAAAGACGCTAACTCAAGATGTAGTCTCAAAACATGTAGTGTAACCAGGAGAATATGTGCCAAAATGAAACGGAAGAAGGTCACGTGACTTTAACGAGCTAAAAGGAAGGAAGGTATCTAGAGTTCTAGGTCTTCCTACAGGGCATATTCGTTCGGACAGGCATGCAGAGGAATAGGGCGTACTATCTAACGACCTCAGCACATGTTGTAGACATGAAGAGGAATCCTCTGCGATTGCGCCGCCTTTTTGAAGGAGTGAGATGAAGTCTCTGGGTGCGAAAACCTTGTATGTTGTGCGAAATAGCGGGACTAAGACACGGCGACAGCTTAAACTTTGGTTGGAAACATTAGGTATCACGATGAGCCCGTCTGGTGGCCTAAATAAGCTGATGCCCACCAACCACTTAAACGAACCAATCATCCATACAAAATATTTATACGAAATATGTATATGTAAAAAGCAAACAGATAGGTTTCAAAGAAACCCTTGCTGCTTGATTTTAAACCAATTCTTCTAATTCCTCAACAGTCAAATCACCCCACAAAAACAAATAGTAACAACTTGGCGCTTGGTCCGGACTATAATGCAGTTGTATAAGAACCACCCAACGAAGCTCTCGGAGCTTCTGTTGAGTCACTACCGAAGTTTGTGGTGAGATGAAACGTGATTCCCCTCCTGTTTTGGTTAAAGCCGACATTTTTGGCTGATTACTTCCTTTAGACGATCCAATTGCTGATAGTACAGTTCCGAGTTGAGAGTATGACCATACATTAAAATTGTGCATGACTAACTGTTACAGTATCCGGATCAAAAATATTATTCATAATTTTATTGGCGTTTCCGCCTTTATCTTAGATATATTGTAGAATATAGGGCATTTTCCCTTTGCTGGTGTCCATATTCGACATGTGCTCAAACAGTGAGGTGATCGACACTTCTCATAATCATATTTCTAACGCCATTTAGCTCAATCCAATCGCACTCATAGTGCGCGAGGCATAGATCACTGGGGTCATCAATTGCAAGAATGATGACCTTTTACTTGTCTTTATAACAACCGTTGAGACTTATTAATTTATATTATTTTTATTATGTCAACAGGCGAAAGTCTCATAAATGGTAATGACATTTTTATGAATTTAACATATATTAAGCTCTGAGCACATACATCAATGACTTATTACTTATTACTTAAGAATACAATCATTACTTTGTGATAAATAATATAGCTAGTGGATAATAATATTTGTAAATAAAAATACTTTTACGTATTTTATTTAAAGAATGCAAGGAAATTTTGGGAACTTATCTGATTATGGATCGAAATTTCGACTACAACAGAAGCACTCAAGTGTACGAAGGGCTCAATTCAATGTCAAAGATAACGAATATTCAACTAGACCT